GGAGAGACCCATCATGTACTATAAGACAAAAGCATCCTGAAGAAATTCCCAAAAGTTGCAAGGTAGGCTTTGTTTCAATTTATATTTCATCAAATTCCTTGGCCAAAACCTAATCAATCAAATGTAGATAACAGATAAGATGATAGAAAATACTTCTGAAGCCGATATTCTCTATCTAAAGCCTGTTTGAGCCAAATAGTAAAGCCTTCAAAACTTCCAATTTCGCAATTTTTTGCAACTTGCCTCGGATGTCTTCAACACCCATGGCCAGAATATAATTTTACCCAAAAAGATTTTATCATATTTAGAAACTTCAATATCTATGTACTGACTGCTCTGCTGCTAATTTGGTCTTTTGGGAAAGAGTACTTTCGGAGAAATTGCGAATATGGTTGTGCTTGTTTTTCCTGCTTATCAAAATGGCTGACAGGCAAGATAGTAGGAAGAGCATTTTATTCTTGATTATGACACCCAAAATACTTGAACGGCGAATTTTATAAACTGGGAGAGTGGCTCTACCATCTGTATGAATTTCATTTAAATTGGTTCACATGCACCCGAGAACCAGACTCGTTTATTTTTACTTCTTGAGGGTGAATTTTTTGGTCAAAACATAGACCTCAGGCCGACCTGATCAAGTGCGGTTACCATGGCAACGACACACCTGCCGATCCAAATATGGCTGTTTTTGTTCATCCCCCCAGGTAACCTACCTCCACACAAAAAGTGAAGGGGGGTTAAAAATTTTCATTTCCATCTTTGCTTCACTTTCCTGGAGAATTGCTCTTAAATTGATGACGCCACAAGTGGTACAAAGAGCACGACCATTAAGTACGCGTATATGCGTGACCAGGATGAAAAGGGTTAAATCTTTTGTTCAGCGACGACTCCGTTGCCGTTGCCGTTGTGGTTTTCTTAAAGTTCCTAATTTTTTCCGGCCACGGACCTGCTATCCTCATTCTCCCGCTTTCTCTTCGCCCCATCCTCAACTAGCCTGTTCACAAGCTACAGTTACTACGGGATCACTATACTAATACACTTCAGTATAGCTACTAAATGTTTTACAGCTGCTGCAGCTATTTCAGGTTCTACAACTAAATCCAGCTACTACAGGTCTACAGCTACTTATAGGTTCAACAGCTGCTACAGTTACTAAAGGTGGTAGAACTATTACAGCTTCTTGGCTCAGTACGTAGCAGGTGTTCAATATTTGCAAAAGTACTCGAAGAGAACGAAACTGCGAGAGAGTGCGATGAATGTAGCAGGGGGAGGGGTGGGGAAAAAACACCCCTCCCAGCCTCTCTCAATTTGTTTGCTCACTTCAGGAGCGCTCGTTTGCTCGCTCGCTTGCACAATCTACCCGCCTGTAGCCTGCAGAACAGGCGGATTAGCGGGGCAGAGAGCGAAACGCGATACACGAGCGCGGAGCGCGACCACTTGCGCGACTTGTATCACGCTCCGCTAATCGTCCCGTTCAGCAGGCTACCCGCCTGGAAAATGGAAAGAAAACGTCGGGTCATAACAGCGAGGTCTTACACTAAGTACTGATTGATTGACTGCAGTGAAATGAGAGTGAATTAACCCCGGGGGGGGGGGTGGGGGAGCACACCCTTATTTGGGCTTTATAGGTATGTGCGGCCCCAAAGGGTAGGGTTTTTCAGCCGTTTTGGACATAAATAGGGTATCGATTTTGGCCACTTTGGTCTTGAATTGGGTATGTTGGGTATGCAGTCTAGAAAAAGAGGAGCGAGCAATAAAGAAGCGGCAGGATCATAGACACTTTGCAAAAAAGTCTAAATGTACATGATATTTGAATAACAATACCTTATACATCCCGAGCCTTCTTTTCATGTGAAAAACCTCCGTCTGAAAACATAAAAACGAGGCTATTCAAATTATGCAAAGTGGCTATATTTGATGCTCTTGGTGTTCATGTAAATTGTCGTAGCATGGAGGATACACGCGTGTTTATAGGAAAACGAACCATTTTTCTCGCGGTATTTAGGCAATTTCGTTGTTAACATCGCATTTGTACACTATAGGCTCAGACAAGAAACATAACAACGCAAGATGACAGATTTAAAAAACACTTTCACCGGATAGAATTAGATCCGGTCTACGACTGAAGATTGAGGACTGAAGACTGAAGTCTGAAGTCGGAAGCCTGAAGTCTGAAGTCTGAAGTCTGAAGTCTGAAGTCTGAAGTCCCTCCTCGGCTTTCGTACATAGCAGAAGTGAACTTTGAACCTAAACAAACTTTAACCTATATTTCTACTCAATCCGTCTAAAAGGAAGGACTGCAAGGGTGAAGTTTTAGCGCAAATCTGCCAGAAAGTTAAAATGTGAGAAGTATTCAAGGCGCGTTTGTAATCCTTGTGCTCGTAAGATTCGAAATCTTGGACCACTGTATTCATTCGTCCAGGAATCGATACAAGGTAAAATTAGCAAGTCAACTCCTACAAAGGCAACTCTAGTAAAGAAGCGTTTGCTGGAAACTCCAGATCCGCAAATCGGTTCGAGTGTTATCGCCTGTAATAAAAACAAACAACGGAAAGTCTTCTCGGAAAACTTTGGAATCTGGGCAAGAGAGGCTTCGAGTAGCCTGCGAACGCAGACGTATTTCCAGCTGTCGCTTGTCTCCGCCGAAAATAACGTCTGCGAACCCGAGCCAGGAAACGATTTCTGTGACGTAATGACTTTTGTTTCTCCTTGGCCAATCAGATTCCATGACAGAATGAAACTCGAGTGCTCCTCGCAGCGAATACCTCGCGCAGTAGTTCTGGGGCTACTTGAGCTAAACTGTGATTGGCTTAAAATTCCTACGTCAGAGAAATCGTTTCCTGGCTCAGGTTCGCAGACGTTATTTTTCGGTGGCGACAAGCGACAGCCGGAAATACGTCTGCGTTCGCAGGCTAGGCTTTAAGCATCTGAGAGGGAAAATACCGATAGTCTTGACCAGTATCTGAATAAAGGTAATCTTCCCCTAGGCGGCGTCCAAGTCAAAGTTGTTTCTAAAACCAACTCTGGAAATGTCCTCGTAAGAATTCCCCGCGACGAGACGACTAAATTTTTGGTAAGGCAAATGTGTGACAAAAACTGGCATGCAGCAGCGGCCGTCGATAAAACCAGGAACATGGAACATCCCGGAACATCCCGGAACATTCCGGAACAACCCGGAACATTCCGGAACAACCCGGAACATCGAATGATTATGATAACTATAAGAACAATATGTAAAATTAAATTTTCGAAAATAAAATAAACAAAAATAAACTGGTATTAGCTCGAAATATGAAAAGATATTTTGGGGGGTAGGGAGCGTTGGGTATTCCTTCAACTGACCACAATGAGTGCAGGCTCCTCTTCTCTTCGACCAAGCACGTCACGGGGCTTTACAGCACAAACCTGGACGATTCGGTAACGACGAATACCAGGTAATTCATTGCGTTTCCTTTGTTGATCCCCGATTTCTTCAACATCTGAGGTGTTCGTATAAGCATCATACAGTTGCTTGTTAAGTCAGTGGCCATAGTTTTGTCACTACTGTTCCGTCTTCGTGTTGCAATTATCATCCCCAGTTTCGCGCTCTCCGCTA